TTCTATCTCTTTGTACTCTTTCTTACTTGAGCGTCAGAGTGCCTTGTAGGTATACCCCCTCCTCCACTCAGATTTCCAACTGAGCAGACGTCATCTTCTCAGTCCACTTTAGGTTCTGATCAACCAATAAGATCAAAATTTAGTCGTAAAACTAGAGCATAACTCAGAAACGAATGAAATGTATGTGTATGAGGTGTGTTTAGAAATGAATTTCTAGAAATTGAAGGGCATTTTCGGAATTTCGTAGTATTTTTCAATCATACAGGGTGCACTAAGAAATCCTCTTAATTTTTTTCTCCGAGGAAAAACACATTGTTCATCTCCTCTGGCCATCCTAGGTCAAATTTGGGTGGTCTTTCCGCCATGGAAAATTTTCATATTGCATGGCCCTGTCTGGATTCCTCTTCTTCTTCTACTAAAACCACCAATCTTGAACAAGCCAATGTTCTTTCAAGGAAATCATTCGCATAAGCCGTTAATGTGAATAGTAGTGTGAGCCACATACTGACTTCTCAACTCCCTCAACCATGCATGAAGGGTGACAAGATTTCTATAACAATCCTAGAGGAGGAATACCTAGTTGGAATTGAATCTTGTAATCACAATCTTCATGGGGTGTGTTCTTTAGCCCAAAGGACCAACTTTGTTGACAGTGGTTGCGTTGAAGAACAAACTTTCTCCTCTTTGGTCTAACATCATTCATTGGGGTATACATCTCTCAGAAAAAGATTCTATGAATTCTCCTTTTCCTCTCTTGAGGATGTTAAGAGAGTTAGGTCAACTGCTTCAAGGAATATCAATCCAGGTTCATTGAAGTTATTTCCTTGGACCAGAGATTTCAACCTTATTTCTAAAAAAAATTCAACAACTCAAGTGTGGATTAGGCTTTTCAGTCCTTCTCAGGAATATTGGAGACCCAACATTCTTTTTGTTATGGCAAGTAGAGTTGGTACACCAATATGCACTGTCGACTTTGCTGTTAAACCTATGTTTGACATGACTTTTGGCCATTTTGTTCGAGTCTTAAGTTGATATGTGTGATACGGTGGGAGAACTGACTTGGGTGTTTTGCGTTTGATCATAAATGTTGCGGTTAGCAAGAGTCACCACCGACTTTTCTTTCATCCAAAAGGAAAGGTGAAAAAGCACAGGAAAGATCTTTGAGATTGTTTCTTGAGTTCGGGGGGTAAATTATGAAAAGAGAAGGTATTAGCACCCTTTTCATCCATGGTTTTCCATGGGCTCTTAGTTACTTGCTAGATCACTTGCTTTTGTTTGAAAATTTGCTATGTGTGGTTTTTGAAAGTATTTTGTAAAGATGTCATTGTTTAGGCAATCTTTGTAATGATTCTCGTTCGTAAGAATGTATACAAAGATGTTGATCTTTTGAAAATGTTTCCAAGTTTGTAAGATATTTTGAAAGTGTTTGTGTTTGTTTTGAAAATAGCAAGGATGTTTGTTTTGAGATGGAGCAAGTAATTAGGAGCAATCTACCTACTCAAATGTCTTTCTTGTTCATTTTCTTTTCCTTTGACATTGTTGTCTTACCATAGATTTGGTAAGCAACCCTATCTTTGGATGTAAGCGGGACGGGCGTGGGTCATCGTATAGCCATGATTAGCAATGTTGCAAGGTATCTTAGCATTCTTTTTTGAGGGACTAAGATCATTTGTAAGGCAACTTAGATAGCGTCATCGAGGGACTATGATCTTGTATTTGCTTGTTTTTGCTAAGATACCTTACATGCGTAATATGACCATTTTGTATAAGGAAACCAAGTGGAGTTTACCCTAAGGGTTCTTGGGTGCAAGTGTATTGATTTACATGCATTGTTTTTGTCTTTGATTAGGGTTTTCTATTGATTGGTTTTAGTCTTTCCATACAAAACTCTAATTACTAGCATTTGTATTTGAAAGCGTTAAATTGCGGAAATGTAAAGTCCTACGCTATTACATTATTTAGGGGATGAGGGTACAATTTACAAATGGGGATGAAGTAGGAAATTAAATATTACAACCATATCGAATAACCATGAAGGAAACGTAAAAACAGTGTAAAAAGAAGGGGAAAAATGCATTTTGAACTATTATATGTCGACACAAGCTCACATGCATCGACACATAACTTTCCTTGCCCCTGTATTGCCAAATCAATTCAGTATGAGTCGATACATAATGGTATGTGTCGACTCATACACTGCATGTGTCGACTCATACGTGTTTTGTGTCGACTCATACATTGTTTTTTCTTCTGTTTTGGGCCTGTAAAGCAGTATGTATCGACTCATAAGACTATGTGTCGACTCATACTGTAATTTTTTCTACTTCAACATTGTCTTGCTGCATACATGGGTTAATTTTCAACACATAATGAAAAGAATGGAAGATAAACAAAAGGTTAGCTACAAGGACAATGGTTACTACATTTTTGTCTTAAAAAATGAATTACTAAAGTCAAGAAACTTACCTTGGAGTTGGATCTTTATACTCTGAATTTGAGTTGTTGTCTTGACTGTTATTGAAATTGGAAGAGAAAACAGAGATGTTGTAGAAGCTTGTTCTTGAGTTTGAACAATTTCTAGGTGATGTATGTGAGGTGCTTAGATGTTTAGACAGAGCTTGCAAGGTGTGAGAGTTCCAAATATTTGGGCTTTAAAACTCAAGAGTGAAAGCTTTTTTGGACAATTATGATTTTTGATGGCTAGTTTACAACAAGACTTCTGGATTTTCTCTCTATTTTCCTAACCTTTTTCAACCTCTTTCTCTTGCAAATGCTTCTTCTATTTATAGGCAAGGGGTTTGTGCATATGAGCTGACTAGGTTTGCAAGACAACATGTTATGGTTTAGTTGGATTACAAAGATCAAACTATGTCAAGTACTCCATAGTCCCAAGATGAAGTACCAAAGTTACTGGTATAGAGGAGCTACTTCTCATGATTTATGGTGGAGTATAATCAGCAACAAGCAAGGTATGGGCTCAAGACAAACTTCGTACAAAAAGCTTACTTTTCAAGAATAGCAATGGTGCCTTTATGCCATAAATGGGAAGATATTTTGGGTAATGGTTTAAACCCTTGGGTAATAGCTCAAGAGTGGGTGTAAGCATTATATTATGATGATATTTTCAAGCAAGGAGGCATGCAACATAAGATTATGCAGCAAATCAAAAGGGTGTTTGTTATGTGTTCTTCACTAAAATGACTTGCAATTCAATAATGGATGCTCAACTTCATGACCTTGAATCTCCTAGCTCAAATATGATAAATTCATGCTCTTGGATGTTTTGGAAATCTTGAAACAACCTCTATAACTTTCATGTTGGCCATTTTGACAAAATCATCTTGGAACTATGTGAAAAAATGCCAAGAAGTTGGGATAAAATCCTGAACAAAATCTGTTGAAAATTTCTCTAAGTGTTAAATGAAAATGTCATAACTTCATGAATTTATAACTCAAAATCCAAGCACTTCTAGGATAAGTTATGTAAAGAAATGTTATGGATATCATGGAGATCTACAACTTTCATGTTGAAAGTTTCCCTTGAACCGTCTTGCATCTTGGTGAAAGAATGGCATGAAGTTATGAAAAAAAATGAACTTTCTAACACTTGGAAAAATTTCCAAGTCTTGAAAAGTTTGACTTTTCAAAATGAATTTTGACTTTCTTGATTTCTTGATGAACAATTTTCATATTCCAACATGTCTTGATGAAATATGATTCTTAAAACTTGATTTTGATCCAAAAGTCAAAGTTTGACTTTTCAGTGTGCAATTAACCATTTTGTTCTTGTGTCATTTCCAAACATAAATTGATGTATCAGCGCTGCAAACTTGATGTCATGAAAGATTTTGGGAGGAAATTTTTGAGAAATGAGAGGAGAAATTTTGGGATACAACAATATAGATTTATCTCTACCTCTTTCTTACAATCTGTGAAGCATGGATACTCCATTTTAAATAAAATACCGGTACCGAGTATGTATCAGGTAACGGTATGCATCAGGTACGCACCAAAGCCGTACCAATTTTTATTTTTTTTATTTTTAAGTTGGTACACCAACCGGTTCACATTTGGTACCACGTACCCAACTTTTTTAATTTTTTTTAGGATGGTATAATTTAGACTTTTTTTACTGGGTAAAAATTAGGTTATTTATTCTATTTATAAAAAAAAAGTGAAAGAAAAACCAATCTATTGCACTAAAACTTCTTTCGCACTCAAATTATTCATCTTCTCTATTGAGAGAAGTTGGAGCACATATTGATTTGTTCACTCATTGAAAACAAATAAACTCAATCCAAAGAGAGTTGAAGATTTAATTTTTGTTCATACGAGTTTTCATCTCTCAGAGAAAGAATAAGATTTATAATGAATGAGCAACACAAATGTGTGATGTTGGTGGAGATGAAGGAGATCTATTTGATGAAACTGATATTCTTAAAGTTGTTAATCTTTCTCTCAATGAACCTGAACTAAAAGTGCTCTTTTTAATGATATTGGAGAGGAAATATTAATAATTAGTCATGATTTCATAATTTATTGAAACCTTTTAAGTGTAGTTTATTTATGTTGTTGCGCATATATTAACTTTTTTTAAGCAAATTATTCTTTTGTTTTAATATTTTAAAAATATTATACTAAGGTAACGTACCTTAGTTTTTCTAAAAGTGACGTACTCCGTACTGGTACCTGTATCAGGTACTGGGTACACACCGTATCTATGCAATGCAACTTACAATGTTCTTGTAGAAAGTAAAGGGTACTTTTTTTTTTATATTGAATATGAAAAGATTCCTCCTTATTACTTACATTGCACTATGATAGGTCATGACCTAGATGTTTGTAAGAATATGTACAATGAGGATGTTGAAAAAATTATTCAATAGTTGAATAGGTGCAATGAGGTGTTGAATAGGTGCAATGAGGTGTTGAATAAAGAGTTGAAAGTGAATATTGAAAAAAAAGACCAACAACATGACCTATGTTCCAGTCAGGAATGGTTATCTTGTTGCCAATGAAGCTGTCAATGAAATAGAGGCTGCTGCTAATGAAGTTGAACAGGATATGGCAAAGGATGCAGACCAACCTATGGCTAATGAAGATATTCTTCTGTAGAAAGGAGAACATCATATGTATAAAAGAGTTGGGAGAACCAAACACCATTTTGAGAGACTTTCACGGTTTCCAATACCACCTAATTTTCTCTACTCTTGCGAACAACTATGCTATTCATGATATATACATAAATCACCTTATTTACATGCTGAACATAAATGGCATCTTCAAAAAGTCTCATCATTCTGCATAATTTCTCCAAATAAACCTTCTCACATCAATTAGCATCTAAAAAGAAATCATGTTGGAGCAAGTGTCATGGTTCCATATAATCACATTCCACAAGCTAGAAAAGAAATATTTTAGATAGAAATGATAATGTAAGCACATGTTCAATTTGGACTAACCCAGTAGCCAATGGATGTTTTACATTGCAACAATAATTTATTTTCAGTATCAGATATAAATGGAATCTCCTTTCAAATAAGTTTTTAACTTTTCTTTTTACCATAGGAATTTATCTAGAATCATACCAAAACAAAATTACACATGTACAACACACTAATGTTCAATGCTCTATCTATCCTCATATTTGTCAAAACAAAAATTTAGCACACTTGATCTGCATTTCACCCATTCTATCGGGCCTCCAACAATGAGATTGAAGCTTCATTTATTGAACACCCTTTTGAAGAAGATCCTGTGTTATTTGTATTATCTCTCACTGCATAGAACCCGGGTTCACTTGGTTTGGGGAGTAACTTTTCCCCCTTTAACATAAAAACTACCGATGACATGTTAGGCCTATTTTCGGGTAGCTGTTGTACACACAATAGACCGACATGAATGAATCTTATTATTTCTGAGCATATAGCCGCATCATATAATACATCAGCTATTAACTCATGTGACCTTTCTTCAATCCATAGTCTCCATGCCTAAAATCACAAAAAGCAGCTATAAATAGTGTTCACAACTCATAAGATAGAGAAACATATACTCTTCAAACTTACATGCCCAAGAAGGTTTAGACGATGTCGAGGGTCACCAAATCCACTATTCTTCTTACCGCTAATTATCTCAAGTACAACGACTCCAAAGCTGAAAACATCAGACTTTATTGAAAAAGATCCATGCACTGCATATTCCGGAGGCATATATCCGCTGCAAGAAAAAAACATTGAAGTTAAGAAGATAAACATATTAAAAGGGGTTGTGACATGGCAGAAATGAAATTAGGAAGATAAATAAGTCGAACTTACTATGTTCCCATCACTCTATTTGTGTTAGCCTCAGCATGGTCTCCCATAAATGATCTGGCTAAACCAAAATCTGATATCTTTGGGATCATATCAATATCAAGAAGAATATTGCTTGTCTTGAGATCTCTATGTATGATTCTTAGTGTAGAATCCTGATGGAGATACAGCAGCCCCCGAGCAATCCCATCGATAATTTCCAAGCGCTTTCTCCAATCTAGTAATTTACTTCGCGTAGTATCTAACAAATGACACATTCGTAAGTTAGCATGAGAACTACATTACGGCAAGAGTAAAACTGAGAGCAATAAATTTGGTTGGTATGGAAGTTCAAACCAAAAATAAAGTAATCCAAGCTTCTATTGGGCATGAATTCGTAGATCAATAACTTTTCATCTTGTTGTATAGAACAACCAAGAAGTTTTACAAGATTACGGTGTTGAAGTGTTGCCATCAACTTTACTTCATTTTTGAACTCCTCGGTTCCTTGTCCCGATGTTTTAGAAAGCCTCTTAACAGCAATCTCTTGGCCATCTACCATTATGCCCTAGTAATATTAATGTAAGTTTTAGTACTTGTAGTAATTGGTAAAATAAGAGGATAAATTAACTTGGTAACCAAGAGATTACCTGGTACACTGGTCCAAAACCACCTTCTCCTAACTTGTTTCTGTTAGAGAAGTGATTTGTTGCATTAGCAATTGTCGAAAAATCAAATATTGTTGCCAAATCACCATCTTCCTTTTCCTTCTTGTGAAATAACATTTTTATGCATCCTGAAGTAAAAATTCAAGTGGTTTAAAGCTAACAGTACGATCAAACTTCAGAACTCATTCTAAGTTGTAACTAGTTCTTTTTGCAACACTATTTGAGTTATTTCAGCAAATCATAAATATTTGAGATTTACATATCATAACTTTTTGACTTGGCTTACCGAGCTTCTTTATATATGCTGATGTGATCAATACAATAATGGTTAGTCCTATAATGAATGCAATAACTCCTGCAAAAGTCCGAGCACGCTTCAAGTTCCTCTTATTCTTTTTATGATCTGGGGGTGAAAGTAAATATCAATTAAAGAACAGATATATAAGCTTACTAAAAAAGGAGGTATACTTAAAAGTGAAAAGAGAAGTTTTAAACAGTGCTTTATTATATCAAGCCAAATACCAAAATATTTATTCTATATATAAAACTGAAAAGTAAAAAGTTGTAAGAGGAAACGAAAATACCAAACTCTGAAGATGCGAGTCGTATGTAAATGTCTTGTCCTTGGTCTGGATGTATTCTCATGTCCACAATGTTGTCAAACCAAAGTATACAGCCACTACCACCATATCTTATATCCAAATTTGCATATGCAGTGCAAGAACAGTTTTCCAAACACGCAGCGGTGCATTCCTCAAGGCTCATGCTCTTGTCAAACCACGATGAAGACGTATCTGGCAACTTCATGCTTGTGTACTTCAAAAATCCATCTCCACTGAGACAATTTAAATGTGTTTTCCTAACACACCCATCAGACCAAACTGATGACTCCCACTTTGGTTGAAATTTTGGCATGAAACCTTCCAGGCATTCACATATTGGAAATTCATTAATATTGCAGTTAGAGTTGATACCACACAAGCCATAATTATCACACTGGTCTGCAGGACGACTAGATATAGCCTCCCAAATTTGTGACTTATCTGACCATAGAAGACGCTGTGAATTTCCGTATGGATCTAACACCATTCTAGTAATAATTGAACTGTTCATAGTTTCATATTGATAAGAGAATTCTTTGTCAGTGAACACTGCTGAGAAATTCAAGACTCTATGCATTCTTTGCCAAGAAACACCAGTGAAAAGAAATCCATTCCATGACCCTGCTCTATACAGAAATGTTGCTCCCTTTGCAGTAACCAGTTGAGGAAAACCATGCATGTCTATCCTATATGAACATTCACCTTCAGCAGGATCTTCAGGGCTTCTCCAAGATGTAAGATATCTATAGGGACCGGTAACTAAATTACTTTTCAGCTTCATTCCAGCAAGGAAAGTGTTTCCAGGATAATCAAAACTTTCCCATAAAAAGTTCAGAGTGTTGTTTGCATCTTTCAGAACAAGATTTCCTGAATCCAAAAGCTGAACAACTGGTTTCACCACAATTCTTGATGAATTGGAGGACCAAACAACGCCTTTGGAGTCATCAAGAATAACAAGATTTCCCTGATCAGTGAGTTTCAGCAATCCTGTTGAGTTTTGTACAGGAGTATCTCTATTGGCAACCCACACAATAGTCCTAGGTGATATGGTTTTGTACCATATACCAAAGTATTGACGTTGTGGATCTCCAAAGTTGAAAAATCCTGCTTCAAAGGTTCCAGCTGCAGAAACAAGTGTTTCATGATGTTGGATAAACTGATTTGGAACAAGAGTGTACTGTTTAGAGAAAATAGGTATAATGGAGCAAAAGAAGATTAGCATTAACACCTCATGTCTGTTCTCCATTGTGTTTGTGTGAGTTTGTACCAATCATTTTCATTTTATCAAATACCAAATTCAGTTGACACGGCAAAGCCATCCAAGTCTTCCCTTTGTGTGTAGAAATTGATGCAAATTCAAAACAACACCAACAAGTTAGTGGTGTATAATCTAGTCTACTCAGCTTAAAGCTTGAAACGTTGACCAAAGTATGAATGTTGAAAATTTTAGGTGGTAAATTGACAGTTAACATTAGCACCTTATAGCAATATTGGGTCATAGAAATGTTCAATCATTCATTTTTTTAATTGATGCAAATTCAACCACTGTGGGTTAGTCCTAATCATTTCCATTTTACCAAACCAAATTCAATTCACACAGCTTAGTCGTCCAAGTTTTCTTGTGAGCGTGTTAACTAATGCAAATTCCAAACGTAATCAACAAGTTACTAGTGGTGTAACATGTTTTCTATGTTGACCAAATGTTCAATCATTCATTTTCATCTTTGTGTTGTTGTGCCCCCACTTATCCTGTTGGTATACGGTAGAAATTAATTTCTCTCCTCAAAACAAACAAGCATAGCCTCTATTTCATAATAAATGTCTCATTTATAATTTTTTTTAATCTTTTAAAATAAATGTCTCTTTAAAATATCAATATAATATTTATTATTTTTTTATTAATATATTCATATTTATTAACTTTTACATTTTTCAATTACTCTATTAACTATAATAAATAAAAATATTTTAATAAATAATATTAATTTTATTATTAAAATCAATATATCTAATTATTTTCTTAAGGATTGCGCAAAACTCAAATGAAACACTTATTATGAGACAGAGAGAGTATGTGGTAAATAAAATCAATAAATTCTCAAATAATAATTTTACAACTTTCCCTACGACCAGTCGTCTTCAGTCACTTCCAAACTCTAACGTAAACCTTCCACCGTCGCAAAGAAACGGCCCCATTGTCGCCGAAATAAAAAACTTTCAAGCTGGGATAACTAAGTAACGAATCCATTGGAAGGTTAAAGTGTGTTTGGATAAAGTAAATGTGAATTTTTTAAAAATTTAAAATTCTAAGCAATTTAAATTAGTTAATTGAAATTCATTTATTTTTAAATTATTTTGTTTGAATGGAGTATTAAAATAATTTTATTGTTAGATTTTTTAGATTATTTTCATAAATTTTAAATCTTTTAGGTCAAATTTAAAATATAAAAAATAAAAATCAATTTGTAAATTTTGAAAATATGAAAAAGACTAATTTGTAAAATTTAAAAAATATTAGAAACTTATTTACAATTTTTTGAAAATTTTAAAGATGAATTTCAAGTTTTTTTTATAAGGATCATACAAAATTTAAAAAATTAATAGTGAACAATTTCTAGCACTCTTTTTTTTTTTTTTAACACAAGCACATAACTTTTCTTGCTTTCTTCTTTAACATAAACATATCTTAGAAGAACAAAAGGCATAACGCTAAGTAACAAAAAAAAAGTACTAAGCCGTAGCACATGTTACACTCAAAAGTTAACTTCCCTTCAATTTTGTTAATCAAAACGTTTGTTTTCCAACAAATGAGATTTTATTTGTAAGTTCACAAAATACTTAAAATAAATATATGATTTCATATTGTAAGTCACTAATACTTAAAATAAATATATATTTCATATTGTAAGTTCACGAAATCTATACTCATCAAATATGGCGTTAACTGGTACTATATTTTATTTGTTTGGTATAAATTTAAATATAAAATTTGTTCTTTTTTATATTTATATTAGTGCAAAAGATTTTTTTTCTTTCTCAAGATTGATATCCCTCTAGATTTCTAAAGCATCATTCACAAACCAGAAGAAGAGACTCAAGATACTAACAATGATATTGGTATCTTATTTGTTCCTTTACAATTGTTTAATTTTGTGACTTTTAGTTTGCATATATTTGACTCTTTGACATTGTGATGGACTAAAAGTAGTTGTCGTAGTAATTGGGCCAACAAAATCACAATGTAACTAGTAAATTATTATATCTATTCTTTTTTAAGAAACCAACTGCAATAATATAAAAGAGCACAATGAGTGCTAATTTCTTACAACCACGGGTCAAAACATAGGACCTGTTGTGTATTAGGCTTGTTGGGTCTAGTTAGCTTTGCCTCATTTATTTGTATTGTATATTCTTTGTAGTCTATATATGGCACATTGCTTTATTGAATAAGACAAGAAAGTTGAAATCCTTTTTACCAAACAAATGGTTTCAGTGAAATCCCACATTCTGATCTAGACCTTCTTCTTCTTTCAAATCGAAACTGCATTTGTTTTCTTTTTCTGATCCTTTTTTCTTCTTTCTCTGTCATTTCCATGGCAGAATCCTCCAATTTCTCTCACCCCACCGTCCCTAAATTCGATGGATATTATGAACACTAGTCCATGCTCATGGAGAATCTTCTCTTCTCCAAGGAACATTGGAGTTTGATTGAGACAGGCGTCACCACAGCACCGACGGATGCCACACTGGAACAACGCAAAGCTGTTGATGAGAGCAAATTGCGTGACTTTAAGGCCAAGAATTATCTTTTTCAATCTATTGATAGGACAATTCTTGAAACAATCTTGGTTCGGGACACGGCGAAGGACATTTGGGAGGCGGTGCGAAGGAAGTATCAGGGTTCAACAAAGGTCAAACGCGCTCATTTGCAATCTTTGCGACGGGAATTTGAGATTCTTGCAATGGGGGAGGGTGAACCTGTCAATGATTACTTCGCAAGAACCCTAGCTATTGCAAGGAGAAAGAACGGTGCAGGTAGCGGTGGTAGAAAAAATCCTGAGATCCATGCCTGCAAAATTCAATTACGTAGTGTGTTCTATTAAAGAATCCAATGATGTAACAGTCATGTCAATCAACGAGCTTCAGAGTAGTCTTCTGGTACATGAACAAAGAATGCAGGGGCAAAAGGAGCATGTTGAAGAACAGGCTCTCAAGATGATTAATGCTGATAGAGGTAGAGGAAGAAATGCTTCAAGTGGCCGTGGTCGAGGAAGACAACATAAAGAATTTGTTGAATTCTACAGGTGCCACAAGCTCAGACATTATCGCAATGAATATCCTGAGTGGGAAGAAAATGCAAACTATGTAGAATTTAAAGAAGAAGAAATCTTGTTGATGGCATATTCTGAAGGAAATAGAGCACGCAAAGAAGAAATGTGGTACATTGGTAGTGGTTGTAACAATCACATGGTGGGAACTAAAGATTGGTTCTTTGACTTTGATGACAAGTTCAGAGAATATGTGAGACTTGGAAACGATTCAAAGATGGCAGTTATGGGAAGAGGAAATGTGAAGTTGTGCCTTGAAGGAAGAATACATGTGATAACTGATGTGATTATATACCAGGTCTGGCTAACAACTTGCTCAGTGTAGGTCAGTTACATCAGAAGAATATCACAGTTGTATTCAAGAACAATATGTGTCAATTATTCAATGAAGAAAATGGCTTGATTATGAAAACAGAAATGACAAGCAACAGGATGTATGTTGTCAGAATACCATTTATGACTTCCAAATGTTTTCAAGTCTCAGCCTTGAAAGAAACAAATCTATGGCATAACAGATATGCACACCTCAGCATAAAGGGCCTGAAGACTCTGCATCAAAAACAGATGGTTAAAGGACTACCAAAAATGGATAACATCAAGGGCAAGTATGATGACTGCTTAGTTAGAAAGCAACACATAAATAACACACCAAAGCAAGCAAACTCGAGAGCCTCCAAGAAGCTTGGACTGATTCATTCATACATCTGTGGACCTATCACTCCCAAATCAAATGCTAGAAACAAGTATTTTATTACCTTTACTGATGACTACAGTAGGAAGACTTGGATTTATATCTTGAAAAATAAATATGAATCCTTAGATGTCTTTAAAATATTTATATCCCTAGTTGAACATGAGTCTGGATGCCTTATTTTGTGTCTTAGGACTGATAGGGGAGGTGAATTTACATCAACTGAATTCAACCGTTTTTTTATTCAAATGGGGTGAAAATACAATTAACTGTAACATACACCCCTCAACAAAATGGGGTGTCTGAGAGAAAAAACGGAACATTACTCAATATGGTAAGAAGCATGATGAATGCTAGGAGTGCACCTAAGGAATTCTGGCCTGAAGCTGTAAAATGGGCAGGATATGTAATGATCAGGTGTCCTACACATGTTGTGAAGGATGTTACACCATATGAGGTATGGAGTGGAATGAAACTCTTTGTGCATCATTTTAGGACTTTTGGTTGCTTAGCTCATGTCCATGTCCCTGATGTTCACATAAGGAAATTGGATAACAAGAGTATCAAGTGTTTTCTACTTGGTGTTAGTGAATAGTCAAATGCCTACAAACTCTACAATTCAATTGAAAGGAATGTACTTGTTAGTAGAGATGTTATTTTTGAGGAATCAAAAGGATGGAATTGGAACTAGCCAAAGAACATCAAACAGGGTGATCAAATAAGTGATGCTGAAGACATTGAGGAGACTGAGATGTAAACTGACGAGGATGAGTTGGTCATCAATGATGGGGTAGGAAGCAGTCATGGAGGAAGTACTGTTGGTGAACATATAAATGATGAGGCTGCTATTGAGGGAAAAAATACACATGGTCCATCTGCAAGGAGAAGAAAACCTCCTGGGTATCTCAGAGATTATGTGACTGACTTGGGGAACATGGAGAACTAGACTGATCATCTTCAAAATTTAGCCATTGCTATGTTTAGTTCTCATGAGGATCCAAACTCCTATGAAGAAGCAATGAAATCAATTACTTAGAGGAAAGCTATGGATAGTGAGATACAGTCTATTAAAGATAATAATACTTGGGAGATCACAACACTTCCTCAAGGGATGGAAGCAATAGGTGTAAAGTGGATTTACAAGACTAAATACAATGAGAAGGGACAGGTGGAGAAACACAAAGCAAGGCTGGTTGAAAAGGGATACACACAAAAGTATGGAATTGATTACAGTGAGGTCTTTGCACCTGTGGCAAGGTGGGATACTATAAGAGCAATTCTTGCTTTGGCAGCACACAACCACTTGTGTGTATTTCAATTAGATGTAAAAAGTGCTTTTCTGCATGGAGACTTAATTGAGGATGTGTATGTGAAACAACCATTGGGGTATCACAAAGGTGAAAATGATCAAGTCTACAAACTGAAAAAGGCTCTATATGGGTTAAGGCAGGCACCTAGAGCCTGGTACAGTAAGATTGAA